AAGCAGCCTCTTTGTTCCGTCTTTGTCCAGATGGTAACAGGTCCCGGCTCACTTCTGCGACAAATCTCAAATTCACAATTTGATTTGAGAAGTTACGTGCAGTTGCAAGAACACGAATATAAAAATCCCGATGTGAAAACTATTGTCTTTTCACTGTAAATACAAGATGAGAATTAAATGAAACATTAAAGAGTTTCTGAAGTTTTCATTTATTTTATATTACCTAGTTATTCATTATTGTTATGTTGATCTATGTTTCAACACAGAAAAATTCAAGTCTTCGTGACTTGGTTGGGAAGCTTATTTTTTTTTATTTTACGAATTTATCGATCCATAAGTACTATTGAATGGTTAAAAGTAGTTCGGGAAACGACCATACGTTAACCTTTGAAGAACGTTGAAGTATTTATAAGGTTCTAGAACATATTAACAGATATAGATTGATATCTTTATAATTCTAATTCATTAATGATACCAAAGTAAAGTCCGATTTCCATTCATGAATTCCACTTTTATTTCAGCTTAAAATTCGTTGCAAAGAATTTCTTTTCACGGGTCGTGCTACAATGATGAAAATTTTATACAGACCAGAGAAGAATTCTTTATTACGAGACCAAGCAACGAGCAATCTGCTTAAAAGCCGAGTCCTCGAATTTTTCATGTAAAAAACTGCAACTGTATGGATTGCAAAATTATTTATCAACGAAGAAAGTTATTATTAGAGCTGGCGCACGCCTTTGACTAAACTATCGCAAATGTGCGGTTGTCGATTGTTTCGAAGCCAATACAACTGTTTAGTTGCATAACTAAAAATCTAGTATGCGCACCTCCATATAATCTCATAATACTTCTGAGTTACTTTTACGCTTTGGCGTAAACAGTTCTGCGATAGTTTAGTCATAAGTGCGCGCATCACGACTTCAACACATTTATTATGAAACACAAGCTAAATATTTCAATTTTATGTTTTTAGGAAAGATATGAACACTTTGTCAGGAATAATAGTAAAACAATCTTTTCTGAATTCCAACCAATATTTGATAACAGTCCATCATTTTATACAAACAACTAACTTTCGCCCGCGACTCCGTCTGCGTGGCATAGAAAAAACAAAAGTGAGTAGCCTATGTGTTGTTCCAAACTATCCTCAACATCTGTACCAAATTTTATCGAAATCCGTTTAGGCTACAAACTCTAACAAACATCCATCCATCTATACTTTTGCATTTATAATATTAGTATGATATAAAACGGGATGGGGGCATCTTTAATGACTCAGTAAGCAGTGGTAGAGGAACCTTGATTTACACTACCTCTATTTAGAAGCAGGGGCCGACCGCGACGGCCTGATATACTGTTATTGGTGCTCTGGACCGTAAAGCAAATGAATGTGCCCCAGATAAACTATGACCAACGACTACATTTACCAAATTAAATCTGCTGTCTGTCATAAAACTTTACCGTCGGGATATGACGCGTCGTTAATCAATTGCCAACATCAATTTCCTTCGAGCATGTTCCACAACCAAAGAGATTGAATACATAGAATAGGCATAGTTGACATTTCTCTACAAAAAAAATCACATAATCACTAACATCTAATAACAGATTCCCAACACTACTTATTAATATAGAGGTGCCATTAAATAATACTCAAGTGTTTATATTTTAGACGCGATTTAATTTATTTAAAACAAAAGACGGAGCTTATAATAATTTTATAAAAATTTCATAATACTACAAAGATTCAATGTGGCACTCAACTTACCTGACAGTACCTTTCAGAAAGTACGCCCATATATAATGGTTATCGCTGTCTCGATCCTGCAGGCGAACGTAAACCACTGTGTCGCGGCTCAAGATCTACTGATTCAGACCGCGACGCAGTGGAAGATCGACGTAGCCATAGTCGCCGAGCCATACTACGTTCGCGACCGCGACGATTGGGCGGGCGATCGCGACGACTCGGTGGCTATCGTCGCCTGGAGGCGCACCGGCCCCGCACCTTTCGAAAGTGTAACGAAGGGCCGCGGTTGGGTCCTAACGTCGCTAGGCGACGTTGTAGTGATCGGGGTGTACTTCGCGCCGAGCAGGAGTTTTGCCGAATTCGAGCGGATGCTCGCCGAAGTCGGCGCTCTGGTCGTCGACGTGCACCCCACCCCTGTAGTGGTCGCCGGAGACTTCAACGCCAAATCTAGGACGTGGGGTTCACCGGCAACCGACCTCAGGGGGGAGACTCTAGCGGATTGGGCAGTGTCCACAGGGCTCGTCCTCCTAAATAGGGGTACGGTCCAGACGTGCGTGCGGAGTCGGGGCGGGTCTATCGTAGATTTGTCGTTCGCGAGTCCCGCCCTGGCCCGCCGCACAAGGAGTTGGAGGG